TTCCTTCCTTCCTTCCTTCCTTCCTTCCTTCCTTCCTTCTGAGATTTTATATCTTATTCTTGTAACCAAAACTGTTCTTGCAACTAAATCACTGCACAAGACCTATGTCCTTTACATGGGAAAAATGGCTGATTAAATACAGAGCTGCTGTAATCTGAAAGGCCAATTAGTTTTTAGGGTAAAAGCCAGAGATTTCACTTACTTGTGGTATGATTGCAAAAGCTTGGGTCCAAATAATGCACCAGCAGAACTGCTGAGTGTCCTGGGGCAGGAGTGAGTGGAGGGGAAGGATGGAAGGAAAGGCTCTATCTACCCTCTCCTGTGAGAGCATCCATAAAAAAATGTCCCACCATGTACTGCCATGCCAGCAGTAAAACAGTGTAGGGACAGAGGTACGGGGCCTGGCTCTGTAATATCAGCTAAACTGGCTCAGTTTGGGCTCAGACCAAGTGTCACAAATCCATGAGGGCTGGTAGGGGCTAGGAACCACTCCCTGTATATTGTGTTTTATTTTCTTTTTTATCTTTTTCCAGAGTTGGGATTAAAAGCTTGAGAGACGGTATTTTGTGTTTGGACTTAGATGTTTATTAGTTCTTATTTATATTACAATGAGTGCTACAGCACTTTTAGCTAATAAGCTAAAAATGGCAAAATGGTGATGTATCTTTCTTTCTACAGGCCTTTTAAGACCAAGTAGTCCAATTAAAAACAGACACCTAAATTATTTTTACTTTTAACCCAATAACCAAACACCCGTGACTTGCAATGAGGATTTTTCTATTCAATCAAACAAGATTCCACCTAGACCTGTGAGGAAGAAGGTGAAGAAGAAAGAAACCTCCACCCTAAAACCTCCATCTTGTTCTATATATTGCTATATTTTAAAATCTTAAAGTCTAAAATTTTACCACGTGATATCACACACTTCAAACTACACACCAGTGATCCTAGTTTTATCATTCAATCTTGGAAGATTTCTCCAAGGCCTCAGGTTAAAAGCAGTGCTTTCTTGAGAGTCAGTGCCTGTCAGCACAGAAAGTCTAAAATTCTCAGTTTCCAGGGTTCCAACACCTGGGGATAGTTTTAAGGAATTGAACAGTATGGATGTGGCCAGCCACCATTGTTGCCTCAGAATCACAGAATGGTTTGGGATGGAAAGGACCTTTGCACCCACACCCACAAACCCAACCTCATTGGTCCTCTGGAGGGCTGGAGATGGGGGTAAAAGGTGAATTAAACTGTTTTATACCCCTAGCAAAAGTGTGGGAGTGAAAATGCACAGAAAGCTCTTGAGAAATGCAGCCCTTAATGCTGCTAGGAAGTCTTGGCCTTTCCAAAGGTCAGTTTCCTAGAAGTGTGTGGCTCATTACCCACGAGGAATCTCATCCTTGAAGGAGGGGGTGAGGTGCTGCCGTTCAAGACGTGATTTCCCAGGAAAGTCATGCACAGGGGAGCAGGAGCTTTTTTGGCCGTGTATGGCTCTGTGCAGAGGAGGTTTGGGGTCACTGAAAATCCTCTTGAACATTTTGTAAACTTCAGCAGATGAGTCAGGATGGTTTATGCCATGTCAACATGCCTGTGAGGCAGGGCAATTAAAAATTAGCAGCTCTGTGGCTTCCCTGTTTTTTGAGGGATTCTTGCATGCTGGACTGTGCAGCTGCTGCAATGTCAGCCCTGCTCCCAGATGAGGTTGGGGCAAACCTCATCCCCCAGCATGGAGACCACTGTGGTGGAGAAAAAATATCTGTAAATGGAGAGAGGAAACGAAAGAGATGAAATTAAAGGAGAGGCAGAAAGCATATGTATGTGGTGGTCCCAGAGGTTCATCTGATAGGTCACAGAATGGAATGTTTTGGGTTGGATGGGACCTTGAAGATCATCCAGCTCCATCCTATGCCATGGGCAGAGACACCTTCCACTATCCCAGGCTGCTCCAAAGCCCCATCCAGCCTGGCCTTGGACACTTCCAGGGATCCAGGGGCAGCCACAGCTTCTCTGGGCACCCTGTGCCAGGGCATGCCCACTGTCATGCTTATCTCAAGGACATATTTAAAGGACATCAGATATCAAGGAAATGCTCAGAGTTCTGTCTCTATGACTCCTAAGGAATAACATAGTCATCTGAAAAGTGCTTTCAATCTACAGAAGGTGTAGTTCCAGGAAAACACTAATTTCAGGAGAAAAAGTTTCAAGAAAAAAAATTGAAATTTAAACTAGAACCTTGGAAGTAAACAATTAGGTGATAAAGGAACAAGTGAAGAGCCAGACACTGCCACTGCTCATCCCCAGCAGATGTTGCCTATTGGGTGGGAGAAAGCAAATTCCACCCCCAGCTCAGGTCCCTGCATTACACAATGCCCTGGTTGGATCATCGGAAATTGGTGATGTACTTGATGATGTCATGGCTTGCATAACTGAGTTTTGTCCCTGATATTGACCTTTGAAGTTGAGGGCTGCTTTCCAGAGGGCTAGAAATGAGGTAACTAAGTAAATCAAAGTATCTAATTATTTCAGGTGACTCCTCCAGGTAGCTGGTTTTATCTGTTCTTTAGAAGTGTCCAAGGCCAGGTTGGACAGGGCTTGGAGCAACCTGGGATAGTGGAAGGTGTCCCTGCCCCAAGGCAGAGGGTGGAACTGGATGTTCTTTAAGGTCCATCCAACCCAAACCACCCCTTGATATGGTATTTCAAGCCATTTTTTATAATTGAATGCACACACTTTTTTGTTAGATTAGTTATACCTATGCTTTTAGTTATCCCTCACTGTGTGCCATCTGTACAAGTGGAGATCTGCAGTGGTTGACTCATAGAGTGAAATTCAGACATTCATAGTCAATGTGATTTTTCTTGGGGACAGTGGCACCAAAGCAGAGACAGGAATGAAACTGTGCAATTCCAAACTTTGATCAGGACACTGACTTGCGTAGAAGACAGATGTTTAGATCTCCAAAAAGTTATTATTAAATATCATTTATAGCAGAAGAAAGATTGCTAGCAGCAGGACAGAGGAATTCAAGACAACTGAGCCATGAGGAGGGGGAGAAGGACACTTGATGAGGCATTTATTTGCAGCTGGTGCCAAACCAGACAAATATGAATAATTGTAATATGATTAGTTGCAAATACAGTCTGGAAAGCTCCTGGGTTCCTAACAGTGTCTTTCTTTGGGTTCTGAGATGGCATCTTTTGACCATACCCATATTGTGCAATTCTTGGCTTCCAGTCCAAGGTGACCACACCAGACTGTCTGCTGGAATAGTTCCTAGCCAGGACTAATCATTGAAACAGCCCAGGAGTTTTTGGCAGAGGGCTTGCAGAGGACAAAACTGTTTTGATAATTGTTCTGATAATTGAATATAGAGGATGATGGGTTTTCAGTGGTCACATCCCAAATCACTGCTCACACTCTGCTACCTGAATTAGCTGCAGCTCAATAAATTGCAATGTGATCTTGGATGCAGCAGGCACAAGGGATTGGCTACTACAGATGAAAACAAGAAGGTCAATGTCATGCTGACCTGACTGATTATAGATATAAATATATAGGAATCTAAATATTGTGGCTGCAGCAGTAGCAGCTTTCTACCTAACAAGAACCAGTGGAGTTCCATGATTCTGTTTTTGATGGTGATGGTGCCAAAGGCAGCACAACCTACCCAATACACCACAGGAGTAGACATTTCAATGATGCACAGAGGGAAGCATTTAGACCTTGATGATGGAGACACTTCTGGTGTTTTAGTTTGTCATCAACTGAACAATAACTCTTAAAAATTAAAACTTCTGTGTTATTCTGTAGGATACCATCCACACAGAAGTCTCAGTATTTTTCAGGAAAAGCAGCAGCACTAGGGCTGTGTGCCAGGTGAAGGAACTACTCATCAGGACCAGAGAAGTACAAGCCTTTTCTCCATAACCTACAGGAGATCCTGCCTTCCTCCTTCTTCTCAGACACTCATTATTATTCCTTCTCACCCTCCCCTCCACAGAGGAATTCCCATTTAGCTTAGAGGCACAGAGGACAGTACATTCTCCCAGCTGGTGTTCAGTACTGTCATTTAAATGTCTGTTTAATGTTGACTCAGTGTCTGGGTTGCAACATGAGGGCACAAGCAGTTGAGATCAAAGCAGCCAAGGGCAGGTAATAATTGACCAGGTTCCCAGACCTCAGCACAGGCACCATCCCTGAACCTTAAATGTACAGGGGCCTCTCTTTGTGCCCTTTCAGTGACACCAGAGAATGTCTCTCACACCGGGATTCATTAACTGATCTGATGTATTTTTTCTCATCTAAAATTTTTGAGATATTTCTTTAATAGGAGGCTTTTGTAGCTGTTGCCAAACGCAGTGAGGACTGGTGGAGAAGCAGAGATAAAACCTGCCCTGTGCACCCACTTAGCCCATGGGAAATGGCACAAACCACTCTAATGACAAGTGATGTGTGGGAATATTGTGTGCAAGAGCCGAGTGTATCTTTTAGAGGATGTCCACTAATAAATTTTCATGTATGAAGCAACCTTGGCCCTCATTTTCCCACTGTCATTGTGCCCTTAGCAGGATGATGCCAAAGGGTGAAAACATGGAATCACAGAATGGTTTGAGTCGGAAGGGAACTTAAAGACCATGAAGTTTCAACCCCCTGCCAAGGGCATGGACACCTTCCACTAGCCCAGATTCCTCAAGCTTCATCCAGCCTGATTTTGAACAGTTCCAAGGATGTTCCACCTTCCATTAGACCAGGCTGTTCCAGATGGAGCAACCTGGGGCAGTGGAAGGTGTCCCTGCCCATGGCAGATGTGGAACTGAATGATCTTTAAGATCCCTTCCAGCCTAAATTATTCCATGATTCTGTGATTGTATAATAACGATTTGCACCATAGTTAGCAAAGCCAGGAGAATACTGGATTATGTTTCAGCATGCATTTGGTTTTAATGAAACATAAGCACATGACTTCCTAAATAACCATGTGCCTATGAGATTTTAAAGGCATATTTATAGTTACAATGGTAAAATGAAGTTTTGTCACCATCCAAATACATATACCCTATTTTAATCAACCTTTCTCAAAAGCCTAGTAGTTCTTAGACCTCTTTTCATTTGTCATTAGCTGATAAGTCACACTTAAGAGAAAATACTGAGGCAAACCCCTCCTATATAACATCATGTATGGTGCTTGCTGTGAATTATAATGGGGGGAGTTTGTTACCCAAGGAGGGAACAAGAGAAGAAAAACCCCTGTCTTGCAGAAGACTGAGAAATCATCTAAAAATGCTGTTGCAAAGTTTTCCCCACTCAACATTTCAGATTTTCCTTGCAGTATCACCTTTGGAAAAGGGCTGCTGGGGCAAAATTCAGGAAAATTGAATTGCAAAGTCCCCCCAGCTCCTCTTTGCTTAGGGAGCTTGATTTCTCTGGGATAGGTACTTGCAGCTCCTTGAATTCCCAGCTCATGTGTGGAAGTTAATGTTCAACAGAGATCTCCAGGACTTCATCCTGGCCTGGGCACTGTGGGATACAGTTCCATGCACACACTTCCATATTCCAGCCCCAGGTCACTGCTGTGCTGCATGAATTGTTCTGCTCCTTGCCTGTTTTATACAAGTTTTTCCTGGTTTTAAGCAACCAGTTTGCACCTGTCTTTGTTTTTGTTAGAAGTCAAAGCCATGGAATTTTCCTCTTGCTCTGAACAACATTTTTGGGTTGCCTGTGCTAGCAGGGCTCAAAGTGTTGTTTACTTTCATAGAATCATGGAGTCCTTGAAGGGTTTGGGTTGGAAAGGACCTTAAAGCTCATCTCATTCCATCCCCCTGCCATGGGCAGGGACACCTTCCACTCGACCAGATTGTTCCAAGCCTCATCTTTGGTTGTTTCCAGGGGCACCCATCATCTCTCTGGGCAACCTGTGCCAGTGTTTTGCCACCCTCATTGTAAAAATCTTCTTCCCTATTTCCTAGAGGGCCATTCTCCTTCTGTAAGAAAAGAGGTTCTTCAGCAAAATCTGAGTGCTATGGGAATCCACATCAATGACATTTAAGTGATTTAACTCTAATAATACATTGACTCTGTTCCAGAGGAGAGAAAGAGTAAAGCCATGGCAGTGAGTGGAGCTTATTCACATGACAAAATGTAATCACAACCTTCCCCAGTGTCACACTCTGATTTTATTTGGGAAAAACATCCCTTCTCCCTGACATGGATGTCTTATGGACAAGTGCTTTCACTTGTAAACAACATTCCCACCCTGTTCTGTCTGTGTGAAAGACAGGTGAGAGGAATTCACATTTCAGTGGGTCTTGAGAAAAACAAAAGGGTTTAATTTTTTGGTTTATTTATGCCGGTTTTGCAGGTCAGGCGTTTGCCTCTCTGCATCCCACTAAAGAGAAAAGTGAGGGGTGACAAATTAAATTTCTTCTCCATTAGAAATGGGGAAACCTGGAGAATTGCTGGCAAAGGAAAAGATCATTTTAAAGGCAAGGGTAAAAAAAAGAAAAAAAAAAAAAGAGGGACAAAAAAGGAGCACTTGGCATTTCTTGGTTAATTAGACTTTATGAGGGGAAGAGGGAAATCAGTGTTTATCTTGCTGTTACTTGCTACATAAACTCACCTTGTTGCCTCCCTCTGAGCTGCTCGAGCTGCCCCATTACCGTGCAAATTAAACATAAACCTCAGTAATGTTTTTATCCTTCGAACAATTCTTGGAACAAAAATGCCATTAACTCCGAGTTAAATATAATAAATGAGGTAATGAGGAAGCAAACCACTGAACCAGAATGTCAGAGGTAGGAACTGCAGAAACACCTGGGCTGTGACAGTGTTTAACCTGTTTATTAGCCCAGAATTTCATGAAAAAGAACCTTCCCTGCATTGATCTCCTTTTAAGAAAATTTAGAGCCACGGGGATCGTGCTCTGAAGTGAAGCCCCAGAGGATGTTGCCCTTCAAAGCATCATGTCAGACACGATTCTTTTGGAATCAGCCCATTCTCCCAACATTTCGGGGCAATAAGGGGAAATATTTGGCATTGCATCACAAACTTGTGCATGTACATGAAGTGGTTTATTTCCTTTAAAAGAAAAGATATATTAGTGAGTGTTTGAACTGTTAACTCTTGAGATTTTAAATATGGATAAACTGGAACTGCATGCAAAGAGATCAGAATTTGTGCCTTAAGGCTGAAGGTAAAGCAGTGGGAATGATGTGGGATGAAATGCCAGGCTAGATGGGGCTTGGAGCAACCTGTTCCAGTGGAAGTGTCCCTGCACATGGCAAGAGCTTTGGGATGAGATGATCTTTAGGGTCCCTTCCAACCCAAACCATTCTGTGTGTCTTTGATACAAGTGAGGACTGAAGGAGAGCTTTGTGTCAGCCCCCCACAGTGGGTGAGGCTGTCCTGAGACCTGTTTAAAAAGTGACAAAGAACAGTTGCATCACCTCAGGTCTTTCCCAACGCTTTCCTCTGCCTTTGACATCATCCACCTGGCTACAAGGATGGGGAGATGGAGACAAAATATTACATGAACTGCCAGTGAGTGACAAATCCAGGATCAAAGCTGGGTCCCCTCTCCAATTGTCACTGACTTCCAAGTCCCCCTCAACCTATCCTGGTGCCTGTGTTGGGAAGAGGTTTCCAAAAGCCATGAAAGTTGGTGCAGCTCAGTCAGGCTTGGCTGATG